CCTCAATCTGTTTCCACTAATGCATTTCGACAGTGAGCATGCATAAGGGCCTATACGCGATGATCGATTCTCTTCGTCGATTTTCTCTTTTGTTAATAACTCGCTAGATTTAACGTTTCTCGGTGCGTTTGCTGTTGCTTTTGATAGCCAATACAACCTGTTACTACTCTGCATTGAACAAATTCTAGAAAATTGTTTCGCCTAGCTGTAGCAATGCAAAGAGAAAATCGATGAAGAGAATCGATCATCGCGTATTCGCCCTTATGAATGCTCACTGTCGATTTTATTCGCAAGCGTTCAGTTGATGATGAACAAACACAACTCTATTGACTTGCGTCAAATATCTCGAATACGGTTCATTTTGACTAAAGCGCCTGGTTAAGAGTTCCAAGAAAATAATCAATGAGCTTTCTGAGGTAAATTGACAAATATAATCTTTAGTGCGATAAATCAGACTTGTGGCTGCTGGTGACAGCGTAGGCTTTCCTCACCCCTACCGCCGGGCCATATCGATGAAATATCGCTTCTCAGTATCTTCAAAATAATCAACTAAGATATAAACAAGTCCACGGTTTAAAAAAAAAGGATGACATTCCATTCAATTTTTGACAGTTAGGTACGACAATCAAGAAACGTGGTACAGACCGTCAATTTGCGATCAAAAGTTGGCCCTCGCGGTGAGCATAAGAACTATCGAAATGAGGATGGTTTCAAAATTCCTTAACGAAAATGTATGGGAGAGAATTTTTAAAATGTAAACACTGGTTTCTCAGGAATATCCAAACATATCTCTGTGTCAGACTTAGACTGTTAATTTCATCCCGGAATAAGTCGAAGAATTAGCATGTGGTTTCGCATAATGACTATTGGTTTATTTTAGATTCTAGACACGTCCCCGAGAATACCCAAAATAGTCCGGAGCATGGGTGAAAAATTCAAGTGCATTATATGAGTATAATTATATTGGCCGAAATCTTCATATGGCGCCCCTCGATGGTAATTGGTGTATGGAGTGAGCCACACACGCTTAGAAACATTCATGTAAATTTAGGTGCTCTGAGAGTGACATATACGAGCGTCAATTTTGACTTCAATTTAAGTCATAACAGACGTGAAATATAGGTCAATCAAACGTACTCTTTGTCGATCAACGAATTTTTCAGTTTCGGAGCACTTAATATTACATGTTTGTTTACGTCTTATTTTTTATGTCAAAGATGGATTCCGTCACGTGTAAAATTAATTATTTCTAAGTGTGCAGAATATAAAATGAAGCTATTTAATATTTTAGGAGAAAGGCACTTGTCATCGGTAGGTGGATTTATCAGGGTTTTTATACCCCGTTCTTGCCGAAGCACGTTTTGCAGACGTGGATGGTATGTTACATTGCTTTTTTCATTTAATTTCCTGGCCTGTGATATTGCTGTAGCTGCTATTTTTCTTGGTTGACAATGCGCGGCAAAGGTTTTCTGAGTAATACCATGCATATATAGGGAAAGTAAATATTGTCTGGGTAAGTCTCGATAACATAGGCTTGTGTGCTTTGCGTCGGTTAATCAACATGTAATAAAATGCGAGGGATCACTTCCACTTTTTTATAGATTAGATTTCAATTGTTTTACGAGAGTTTGTCGAAATAATTTAAGAAGGTTGAAAAAAACCTTGTAACAATCCTTTCTTGTTTTTGCGTTTTAAAGACTTCCTGAAACAGCTAATACGCGTTATATCAGGTACTGTCCCACTTCTTTTTATTCAAAGGGGATACGTAAAAGAAAGTGTGAGAAACGATGACCTAATTTATACCAATCATAGTACCGTAAAACGGGGTAACATTGATAGGTTCTAGAAATGTATTCTGATTTTTTTTTACAGCAATGCATTTTTCTCAAATTTTATTTTTTAAAACAAGTTCTGAGATTTCTAGAGTGTCAATTCATTAATAATATATGTGTTTCAATTCTCTGCTACGAGGATGTGTGAGCTTGGTGAAAGGATAAACAGAGATGATCAGAATATCTTGTAAAAAATAGATAGGAATGCTTAAAATAGGGATGCCGATTATTAGATATTATTAGATAGGGATAGTGCTGAGTCGTTTCCCCTGCCTTTATATCAAGATGAAATTTCTAAAATAATTCAAATTTTTCCTCAATTTTCAAAATTCAATCTGGATGACTCAATCCTTAAAATTTCATAAAATGTTGAAATTCTGAATCTATATTTTGTTACTGAATTAGGCATTCACCTTCGTCTGCCCATCTCTGTTTACGCCTATGGTAGACTGTTGGATACAATTGAGCAGCTCAATAAACAAGCTCAAGCTCTTGACGTACATATAAGCTTTTCATCTGCCTATTAAAACTAGTGGACTCACTCACAAATTAGGTCAACTGCACTTGCGCATCAGCGGATCTCAAGGCAACCAGCGGAAATTGATACCAATATTGATTTAAGTTTAAATAATTGCATTTATCTACATTTCAACCCGAGCCATGTAGCCTAAAAATATGATGATATTGATGTCCAGCGAGTAGGTAGCTACCACCTGTTAAAGTTGATTCATGAATTGAAAATGCAGCTGATCTGTAACGTCTCCTAAAATGGTCTAATCTACTTTTGACACGGCTCAGTATTTGGCAACGCTAAATATTGGGGAATCAAAGCAAAACTAACACCGGGCAATTTCTTCTTCTTGACGTCCTTGATGGAACTTTACGCCTTAGTGTTTTTGAGCTTTTGCACATTTGTTAATTGATAGCTTTTTACGCCTGTACCATTTTTGCAATAGTATTATTGTGTGGTAAGTAAAATCATACTCTATGCCCAGGGAAGTCAAGAAATTTTTCAATCCGAAAAAATCCTAGACCGAACTGGGAATTGAACCCAACCGTCTCCATAAGGGTATTGCTTTGTAGCTGCGCCTTTACAGACTGAGCTTAGGGAAGCCCCTAACACTGGACAAGCAGTACCTAGTCTTGTGCTCCACAATTACTAAAATAATGTTTTAATAAATAAAATGCAATACAGTTTGACAGTTTGCATCATAATTTTCAACCACTAGTCATCTGAGATTTCTTAATTGGGTATTTCAAGTGGATTTACAAATGCAATACTCCTTCAAGGTATAACTTTCTTTTTTTTAATTCCAATGAGATTTGGCCATGTATTAGGGCTTGTGTGTATTAGGGCCCCTTTGATTTATGATGCATATTAATGATTTGCGACGTGATTTACGATATTGTGACATAAATCTTTTTGCAGATGATACTGTGTTATTGATTCTAGCTAAGGATTTAGATGATGCCGTTTCACACTTGAATGAAGATTTGTATTTTCTAAGTAGATGGTTGAAGTATAAGCAATTGAAATTGAATACAAGTAAAACTAAATTTATGGAAATTTCACGGAATCGAGTAAATGAGAACGTCGCTGTTGTAATAGATGATGGGGTCACGTTCGGTAGATTAAATATCTTGGCATGATCATTGATGACAAACTTAAGTTCAACTATCACGTTGTCAGTGTCATCAAGAAATTGCCGAGAAGTACGTTTATATCGATTGAAAAACGATTTAACTATTGCCAGCTATACAAATCATTCATCTCTGCTCATCTAGACTTTTGCCCTTCCAAATATCGAGATTACAGCGCTTGCAGAATAAAATAATGCGTTTGATTTTGAAATGTAATAATTCACTTCCTCAACTTTGATGCTAGACGCTTTAAAATGGTTGTCGGTGAAGCAAAGAATTGTATATTTGACTATGGTGTTCATTTTTAAAGTAGTTAACGGTTTGCTGCCTCGATATTTGTGTGATCGAATTGAAAGGGGAAGTAATTTTCATAGATATAATACTAGGAACGCGGAAGAAATAAAAACACCACATTTCTTGACTTGTGCTTCACAAAATTCATTATATTATAAAGTAATAAATGTTTTCAGTAAGTAATTGCACATTAAACGTGCAACTAAATTTACAGGATTTAAAAGACACTACATTTCACACGTTAAAACTGTCTTGTGAACAGTTATCTAATGATTATTTTTTTATGAATTGAGTAATTCGGATTTATTTTATCGGATTTTTTTTATATGGATAGCTGTCCTAACGATTTTTTAATAATTATTGCACCACGGAAAAAAGTATTATGTTCACCACGATGGTGATGATGATATATTTGATTTAATAGTAGTGCCATGTTGAAACTTATTTGGAAGATACCTTGAGTTAGTAGTAAGTTTTCTGACAAATGTCGGGGGTTCGTGAAGCAACTGTCTAGAGGGAACTCATATATGTAGCTGTAACCAGTTAGATTTTGTTTGCTAACCTGGTTAAAATGTCATATTTAATTATCTTAAAGATAAATCGTCCAGATCAAACCTTTGTAGGGGTAAGAGGTGGGTCCATCATCATCATCATCATCATCATCATCATCATCATCATCATCATCATCATAATCATCATAATCATCATCATCATCATTATCATCATCCTCATCATCATCATCATCATCATCATCATCATCATCATCATCATCATCATCGTCATCATCATCATCATCATCATCATCATCATCATCAACAACAAAGTAGTTCAATCTTTCACCATTAACAACATATATAGCTCTTTAACTTTGTTGAAGACTTTAAGACCTATTTCAACTTCCTGCATCTGTTTTATGGGATGTTTTAAAAGCAGGTTTATGTCAGTTGCTATTGTTTATTTCACGATTATTTCTTCATATTTTTTTTACTACTTCGATTTATAATTGTACAGATTATGGGCGCACACTTTATCGATGTCTACGTTTTATTCCATTCCACTACAGGAGCACAGTGCAACGAGCATGAAGCTTGGTTCTGGGTTGAAGAAATCTACTAGCAAATGCTTATCCGTATCGCTTTTAGATGAGGTGTTTAGGTCCACTACATATTGACTTGTTTGACGGTTTGCTAGTTTACAGAACAATGAAGAATAATTTAGCTTGATAGGACTCACCATAATACCCGTACTGACTGCAATGCCTCGGCCGCAGTACGTGTTTGGTACGATATCACCGAAGCCAACGCTCAGAAAGGTTATTGCGATTAACCACATGGCGTTCAAGAGATTGGCATGTTCTTCATCATGAAACCTGTAGACAAATCGGTCAACAACCAAATAATGGATGATTTCTGCTATATTTGATCGAGTTTTTTTTTTAAAGGAGAGCGAGCTTGGGTTTGAAGAAATGTATAACTATATATTATGAAACAAAAATAAGGGTTGAATTATGAGATTTTGTTTGCCATTGAGATTGTTGAGGGAATCTGAAAATAGCTAGCAATTAATTGGTAAGGTACGGTCTGACTAACAGATAGGAATGACAGGAAAGGTGTTGATGATTCGATCGTTTTTGAAACTTATGATTTTCAGTTAAGTACCGCTTAGCCTGTGTGTACGCTTTTAGAGAGAACCAACCAACCGTTACTTTTACATCCACAGGTAAGTTGAACGCTATGTATATTTTAGGATTGGAATTAAAGTAGTAGTGGTAGTAGTATTGTATTTATTCATTATTTAGCAGAAGGTGGGTTTCCACCTTGACGCACAAACGTTCCTTGTTTGCTTATTTGTTTGATTTTAAGCATATTGTCTTATCATATTTATTCATCGAAGATTGTTGAGTCAATTTACATAAAACCCCAGCACGAACGAAAACTTAAAATAAATATTAACACTCTTGTTCAAACGGGATGGGTTAAGTGGGAATTAATTGATTATTTTAATAACCAGGGATAAAAGACAGTATAAATAGGTTAAACCATCAGCCGCAACCAAATGGAAGGTAAAACACGAGTATATAGATAAGAAGTGTGAAAAAATTGATGGTAGAGGTAATACTTTTCCAAAATACTCAGGTGACCAAAATACGTGTAATTTAGTGCGCTGAGAATGGAATTAGAAAATTTTGAACCTTGACTGAACGAAAGGAAACTAATATAGTAACTTAAAACTAAATTTGGTTGAAAATGTGGAATTGAATAATACCATTTGCATAATTAAAAGTTGTTCAGCGTAATTGAAAATAAAACCAAAGACTGAAGAATTCCTTCGTCACACAATATCATATACTAACAGGACACAATAGTGAGAATAGTGAAATTGCATTTTGTTGCTGCTGCTGATGCTGCTAGTGATTTGAGGTGTACAATAATCAATCAAATCGTGATTAATAGTGTCGTGGTGTCGATATGTTCAGTGTGGCTATGCAGTTTAGGACTCAGTCAGTAGTAAGCGTGTGTTGTGTTGCAAGTGTTCTGATTAGTGAATTGTTGAGTGAGTTGCCGGTGGAAAGGCTGTGGTGAAGAGAATTTTTGTACTTACCACCATTCCGCAAGTTAGAGTGATCCCCCGGCCGCAGTAAGTATTTGGGACGATGTCGCCATAGCCCACGCAAAGAAACGTGATCGCGGTCAGCCACATAGCGTTTAGCAAGTTTGCGTGTTCCTCGTCGTGAAATCTGATCGTCATTCCGAGGCCAGATCGGGGTTTGTGGGTTTATTTCACAGAGTGAAAGTTTGAGTACATTTTACCCATTGGTACACATGAGTCATGTGGTGACAGTGACGGCATCGGGGATGACGTTGACCAGTTTTGTTTTTTGAATTTGTTTATAACAGATTTTGTTTTTTTTTAGTTTTGTACATTTTTGCCCAGAAGAGAAGATGGTGATGGTGATGTGTACACGATGTAAGAAAAAGTGGTATAAAACAACGAGCAACCAGTGTTAGAAGGATTGTATTTGCTGCATTATCAATTGAAATTAATAAAATACTGATTCACAATTAACGATATTCCGTTGGATCAATGCAAGATTTTTCTCTATTCGTATAGTATAGTTCGTGGTATGGTATCTTATATTAACTCACTCATGGTGAGAACAAAACGAAAAGAGTTTTGTATTTTCGGTTATTATTGCCATGTTACGAATAAAAAAATTAAGGTAATTCTGCATGACACCATTCAGAATAGATTAAAGATACTGATTATTAAGACCTTGAGGTAAAACAAATGTTTTTGATAAATTTCAATCTCTCAGTATCTTCTGCTTGTTTATATATTTTTGTGACTACATCTGCATCATAATGTCGGTATAATTAGTAATAAGATAAAAAAAAAATAGAAAATTAAGAGCAATTCTTTGCGAAATGACGAATCAATAAGACGTTATCTTCCCTGATTTGTTTGAAACTTTGATCCATTGCATGAAGTTCACCACCGTTAGACGAAGCTGTAAGTATATTAAAACAGTTAAAGTCGCGTTGTTTTGTGTTTGTTTTGTTTCCTCGTCTTAGGGGCAGTTGGTCGAACAGTAGACGCGAATGCGAAAAACTTCCTCGAAGACTAGGCACGTTCCGATATGGCAAAATACATATTGCTGTTTGCATCTGAAACTGGACTGCCATAAAATTGCAAAACGTGTACTTTTAGTTTTGGTGTCTTCAGAGCACTTGTTGCTAGCATAAGGAAGTTTGGTGTGAAATGCGCAATACCATCAAATGGGATCAAACTATCGATGTTTCGAAATATCATGTTAATTAATTAAAAAACAATCATATCAATCCCAAAATTTCACACAGATGCTTTGTATACTGTAGCACCTGCTTTTGTATAGGGATTCTCACATGGTACACAACTGACTATATGATCAGTAGAGTGGGTCTTAACAACCCCTGGTTCCCAATAGCTTTTTCGATTCGTATTGAGGTCCCCAACAATTTAAACGAATTTGGATATGCGGGAGAGCTTTTAAATGAGTATGGGAAAATCTGTGGGAAACGGGCCACGCATTATTGTTTGACCAAATTTTGATCGTAACACCCTTTATGTAAGGCTCATCAATACCAAATTTATGTTGCCCGTTATGCTAATATCATAAGATATTTCTTTTCAAAAATTAAAATAAAACGCTCAATTTTTACCAAACCTGAGATTTAGATTGAGAAAACTATACAGAACAACTTTGTTGAAAACAGCAAATCTATTCGACACTTGTTCTAAAATTTATTATTGTTTATACAATATATGCATATAAGCTTGTAGGTATGCGCGGAACAACAGGAACTTCATTTATCAAAATGGTGTCCAAGTAAGAGGATTTTGCACGCGCATCGCGAAAATCCGAACTACTCGCACAAACCTACATCAAGGCAGACTTCAAACAGCTTCCAGGACAGGAGTTTTATAAGGCATCCCGAAGGGGAAAGGTGGTAGACATTTTCAAATATATGAAATTGTTGAAGTTCGTTAAGAAAAGTCTGATTTGGTAGGCTATCTGTACCAGTGCATTGAAAAACGACATTTTTAACGGAACTAGACCGTCAACCAGGATATTTGCGTGAATGAGTGACTGGAAAAACGTTTGCTGCGGCTCCTGAAGCAATTGAAGCGAGAAGCAGTTTAAGGTAAACTGGCGTTCTACGGCGAACAAAGTGGACGAGTCGGCTGTACAGAATCTGGTGGCAGGAGTTATACGAAAGGCCCGGCAATTCAGATTTGGTTAACCGGAAGCTTAGCTGAATATTTTTTCTGTATTTTATACTAATTGAATTTACACGCATTCTTGTTTGACCAAATTTTGATCGTAACACCCTTTATGTAAGGATCATCAATACCAAATTTAAGTTGCCAGTTATGCTAATATCATAAGATATTTCTCCTGCTCGGGTGTAGAGGCGTTTTCCTAAATGGTTTACCATCGGGATAAGACGGATAACTCCCATAATTCATAAGAAACAGATTCAATGTTCGGATTTATTAAATATCGTAGGTGCCTTGAATATATATGATCAAAATAGATCCGACAATGTAGTTCTTGAATGCTCATATTAATTATTGTGATTTTTGGACCTCGCTCTGTGGTTCTCACAATACGCCTAAACACAACAAACATATTATCAGTTTTTTTATTGATCTTTGACATTTATTTTAAAATATCCAATTTTTTGTCATTTTGACCTTGTGATTTTTAACACTCCAGAGAATCTGAATTTATGCTTTTGAAATCAGCGACAAAACTGCGCAAATGCGTATAAATAGTTTGTTGGGTGGATTCGTGATAGCACAAGCTTGATCAACCAAATAATTCCAATATAAGCAAAGTAATTTACCCATTGCCGACTACGGAGAATTCACCAGTTCGTTATGCCTCTCGGTTATTTATACCAGTGAATTTAAATCTATAATATCACACGTCAAATTAAATGTGATTGTCATCATGCGCTATGAAAAGCGATCAATTGTTTTCTCACGTCCAGCATGATTCTGAATGCATAAACTATACTCTCAATTTCACGTGTGTATGTTACTTAATTTGCAATTGTATTCTATTTATTTATTTATTTATTTATTTATTTAGAGATGAACTAGCTTTCGGCTAAAAATCTCTCAAATAAAGAATTAAACAAAAAATTATTTATTTGAAATCTCTCTCCCTTTACCTTTTTTTCCTCTGTTCGGGACCTAACGCCACTACGACCAGTAATTTGATCTATTGTAGTATATCCCGTGTCCTTAGTTTAGTACATGTCATATTACTCCATCACTATTGAGAAATGATGAAGTATTCGATTTTTTTTATAGTTGTCATTCTTGCATTTATCGCAAGGATCCGACTCTAATTGAAAGGTCCCGCTATTTATACCCTTCGGAGTGTTGAAACACCCTCCAAAGGCGCGCCCCTTTGTCAGTCAAAATTTGATTCCTTAGCAACAAAATTAAGAAATGACACACATAATGACCATGCATCAGAACCCTAGTCTTAACCACTTCAAACTAGGGAACAACGAATAGAAGATTAGGAATCACATAGATGAAGACTCGGTGGACAAGCCGAGTCTTGTCATTATCGAGAAGGCATAAAAAGTAACAAGGACTAAGATGTGTTCCTTGGATTACTGATAAATCCTGTTCCCTTATTTTGAGGTAGTCAGGACTAGGAATCGGTGGTAGATCTTACATCCCGTAACGTATCACGAAAAGGTGACCTACCCACGTTACGGGGTGTCCCTTTACCTTTATTACCACCCACATTTGTGACGAAAATGCATCACAGCAGGCACGCACGTTTTAGTTCCAGAACTTCTGGAATCC